TTTCTCAATTTTCATACATTTATATTTTGCCAAATGTCACCAATAGACCTTAAAATGAAAATTAGAGAGAAAGATCTTACATACGGAGTGAAGTACAAAACTCAGACTGGCTCAACTTGGATTTCTGATTTAAATATGAATGAGTAACTATTTTTGTTTATGGCTTGTTCTTGAATGGTTGTCATCCTATTTAAATCAGCAATCACAGTTGATCCGGTCAGAGTTTTGTCCCTACCTAAAATGAACACGGAAGTAATTTGGGAAAGATGTAGATAAGTGTGGCAGGGTTACAAGGATAGTAGCCGATTACGGGCTCTAATATGCCCTGTTTTTCTTTCTACAAATATCATAATGTTTATAATATAAATATCAAATGTTAATGGTTATTTTTGGTATTGACAGAAGACCAGATGAAGCCTTTGGTCAATTTTGGCATTCCCTGGTAAGAATGCTTCCTTAAAATAATTCCACAAAGGCACATATGCTGATGCCATTCTTTACACAATCTTTGCCTCATTCACAAACAACTAATTTGAATAGAGAAGGCATGATACTGTATACAACTTGACTCCTGTCATGTTCCAATTGCAGTATGTCCATGGGATTCCTAGTGGAGGAAGGTGCACCAATTGTTTGGAGAGGATTAATGGTGTGTTAACTGTACAGTGTCTTCAGCCTTAGCAGAATTGAAGACTCACAGTTCACCTTTCTGACTTGTGTTCACCACTTGACTGTGAAATATGCAAAGAGAAACAAGACTGAAATTTGTCTGCATTTGCAGACGTTACCTGGCAAAACAAGTCATTCATCTCTTTGTTCAGTGATGTTCAATCAATGGAATCAAATATTGATTTTTCTTTTGAAATTTGCAAATTAAAGGTCATGTCTGCTGTTGAAAAGCTCTTACGGCAAGTGGCATGGGGTGAGCTTGATATCCTTGTGATTGACATGCCACCTGGGACAGGAGACACCCAACTGTCAATCTCACAGTCAATACCCATTTCAGGTCAGTTTTAAACATGAAATGGAATGAATGATCCAAAGGAAAATACTGTGTATAAGGATAGACTATTTTACACTATACCTTACAAGTGCTGTTTTGTTTTCACAAACATTTACAATGCATCTGAAATTTTGTTTCAAAAAATTGGCAAGATTACTGATTAGAAACATTCAACGTACAAATTAAGAACAAATCAAGAAAGTTATGTTTTGCATGGTAATTCAAGTATATTAGTATAGGTAATCCCATGATTTCAAGTGCAATTTGGAATAAATAAGCATGAGTAGATCATTCAAAGGCTTACAAAATTGTACGAGCCCATAGGGCGAGTGCAATTTGTAGTCTGAAAAATTTACAAGTGCTTATTTATTCCAAATTGTACAAGAATAATCATGTGATTACTTGTAAAATGATACACTATTTAAGGTCTTTGTCTACAAATTGTTTCCTTAGGCAGGCTTCGGTGTGTCTTGTATTCCAAATACTTCAAAACTACCAACAATGTTGGAAAGTCTCCCACAAGCTTTGGGTGATCTTTGACAATCTTTAGAAATTTTCAGAAATCTTCAGGAGCGTTCGGATGATTATCAGAGGTATTTGGAAAGGTTTGGGTGATCCTTAGAAGTTCTTTGAAAACATCCATTTACCTTTAGCGATCTTCAGAAGGTTTCGGGTAAACTTCAACCACCTTCGAAATACCTCAGATTACCGTCGGTAGTGTTCTATTTTCTTTGTATTAACTTTGGATATCCTTGTCGTAATTTGCACTGGTGTTTCAAATTTGTTGTGGTGTTACATGACAACTGCATTCCTTTTTGGCCAATCAGAATTGAGAAATTTTTTCAAGTGTATTATTAAGCTCATAAGACTAAGGCTTTCTTGAGATGGAAGGGTTTAACTGTTTTGATTATTGTACAGGTGCTGTGATAGTTACCACTCCTCAAGACATTGCATTGCTTGATGCTCGCAGAGGAGCAGAAATGTTCAGAAAGGTCAAAGTTCCGGTAAGAGTGAAACAATTTCTAAGTTGCTTTTGTTTCTTTTTCAAAATGAGTGTTGGGTGTAAAATCTTTCCAATAAAAATAAAATCAGTTTTACATAATTTATTTCATGCCACTCAAAATATTGTATATTGAGAGGAGAGTGTCAGACATTTTGTGGAAGGGTTAAGAGGCAAAATGGGACTCGGAAAATAACATGCTATTGACATTTGTTGATTGGAAGTCTGCCGTTTTGTAACAGGACAAATGAAACTATGACAGCAATGTCATGTTATCTTGTTTCACAACCAGTAGCGGATCTAGGGGAGACGCCCGGCCCCTCTCCCTTATTCTGGGTAAAAAAAGAAAAAATCATAGAAGGAAGAAAAGTCAGCAGTGCAAGCAAAAAACCTGCCCTCCCCCCGGCCCCCCTTAGCTCAAGGTCTGGATCCACCACTGATAACCTACTGCAAACACTCATATGAGTTTAGAAGACAAAACTTCAATTTTGGAAGCACTGACTTGTCTTTCAATTTTATATACTTACTTAAAGGTTCTTGGACTAGTCCAAAATATGAGCCACTATGTGTGTCCACAATGTCAGCACAAGGCCTACTTATTTGGACAAGACGGAGCCAAAGATGTTGCCAAGGAAATGGACTTGGAGCTCTTAGGTACAGTATAGTGCATGTTACATGACAGATGTATTAACCAAGTGTGATGGCTGTACAGAGAAAATGTTGGTCTGTACAAACAAGGGCAAGGACTGACATTCTGCTGATGCAGTCCTGAGTTTGCTTACTGGTTGACTGAAAAAAAGTTAGTTATAGTAACTATGCGATGGACTGGCATCCCATCCAAGTCACTTCATGCTACTGAAACCGGAGATAAGCGCTGGCCTGATGGGCCTCTTGGCTCGTATGCAGACTTTACCTTACCTAATTAATGGTAACTTTACCATATTTCCTTTACTACGAAAATATTGATCTTGCATAAGAAGCATAATTTTCTGACTTTTTCCCTTGGTACAGTCTCGAGAAACATTTCATTGAAATTCTCAGAAAACAAAACTGAGTGTTTTCCTTTGGAACCTGTCATTTCTTAATTTGTCAATAAACAGCATACTAAAGAGAGTAGTAAATTCAACTTGAAATGTCGGTCGTTGGTCAATGTTGGTATGTAAGAGAGCACCATTGCCTTCTGACTTCATTGATTTTGCAATGTTGCTCCCTTGCAGACTTTTGCAAGAAACAGTTTCATTGTTAGATGTCATATGAAAAAATTTCAGTGAAAGCTCTATATAAACTTAATGTTCTTGGAGTCATTGTTACTTATAATAACTTTGTTCTCAGGTGATATTCCCCTCCATATCAACATAAGAGAAACATCAGATTCTGGAAAACCCATTGTAGTTTCTCAACCAGACAGTCCTCAGGTAATTTTAGTAACTCAAGAAAACGATCAAAAAAATTCCTGACTTCAAAGTTTCAATTCTCTTTATAAGTTTTCACCAAGTGTATAAAGTGGTATGTAATATAATTTGATACTTGATGATTCTACCAGAATTGCAATTTTGATTTCTTGACATACAATCCTGTACTTCTTCCCCCCAAAATAGTTGTTCAAGTTTGCTCTGAGGAATCTTTGCCATGCTACTTCGTGAATTTCTACACAAGCAGGTCATTCACCTATACACCTGAAGACAGGTTGTAAATTTAATTCAAACATCGATTAAACAAGCTACTCCTGAATACTGTAATGACATCTTAAAGCCCCTTCCTAACCCCTCCCCGAAAACCCCCAGCAATATCAACACAGGGAGCACAAAGCTGCAGACGAATTAATACAACAATGGACCTGAGGCTTTCTATTGACATAATTTAATAAAGCAAACCTTATATGCAGACTATTGATAATTCATTTCATCTTATTTGAATTAAACAGACTTCTGCTTACAAAGCAATTGCTAGCCGCATCTTGGAAAAACTTTCCCCACACAGTGACCCATTTCCTGTACAAGAACCTACAAGATGACAGTAACTAGCTACCATTTCTCAAAACAGTGAGTAGCCAAGATCAAATTCTGATGATTGGCTTTGCTTGGCTATGAAGGGCCACTATGAAAATGCAACACCTTGGAGACAGCCAGCCAGAGCAAATGTAGGCTAGCCCACTTCTTGTGCTAGTCCAGATGTGTCTGTTGGAAGTAGACACCACTTTATAGCAGTTGAAGAGAAAGCAGAAATTCCCTCTTGGGCTCAAGAGAGTTGGCTATCCAATGTTATCATCATAGTGCTGACAATTTGCTAGCACCCATCTTGTTGACAATATTTTGTCATTGTTTTGTCAAATTAGCCTTAACTAGTTACTCTTCGAGTGAAAGAAGCTTCATTATCTTATGAAGACAAGACAAAGATCAAACAAGTATTTTTCTGCTCAACAAATTTGTGTTTGAGACTCACTCTATGAGTTAACAAGGACTGTGAGTAGTCTCCCTGAGTAGTCTTATCTGGTCAAGCAAGGGCTCATCTGAATAAGATCTGTCATATTGATCCAAGTCCTGACAGTGGAGAAGGTGTACAGGTCATTCACTGATCTCCTTGGTACTCATCGGATTGGGGGTAGTCCAGAATGCAATATAACTGGCAAGCATCATAGGCCAGCAATGTGTGGAGAAAGCTATGTAGTTCACTATCTTTAGAATGCACTGCAGGTCTATGAACCAGCTAATCCATAGTGATGTTAATTTATTCACTCAAACATAGACTCGCAATGTGCAGTTCAAGAAAATTTCCATACTCCCCTCACAGGAGGGATTGGAAGTTCATGGGGGTGGGGTGGGGGTCTATCAGACCAAAAGATTTAGACATGTATGAAGCTTAACTGAAATTTCGAGAGGGGTGGGGTGGTCTTAGAAAAAGTCCCTTCCATGAGGAAGGGGTATGGATATTTTCTTGAACTGCATAATGCATGTACAGAGGATGTAACTAGAACCTGTGTATGCATCTGGATTACTTACCAGTTTTTCCATATTATCTAACTTTTTTTTTTATGATACTCTATCATTTTCCTAGCAAAATCTGCTTTTTGTTGTATGCTTAGTCACTACATTCTTCAACAGTTATAGTCGAGCACAGTTATTCTGGTAAAAGGTCCTTTTGTTGAGTAAAAACTGAAATTCCTCAATTTCCCATTGGACTTTGTCTTAATAACTTGCTTGTTACTTTCACAATCAGAATCATTAGTTAGCTGATGCAGGGCGAAATGGTAACTGTCACTAACTCACTATAGATGGTACACTAACAACAACAATTTGTACAATATTGCCTATAACTGTCCAACTAGTGAAAAAAATTGACATATTATTTATAAGGCTAATCAACAAAGAAATAATAACACTGCTCACTAATGAGGAAGCATGAAATGCCTTGTCAATGTCCTCGCTGAGAAAGTGATAAGCTACAAAAAAGCTCCTGTCAGTCATATGAGAAGAGGTCAAACGTTTTTCACATCAAACTTTGTATACGTGTATAAAAATAGATCTCAACCAATGCAAGTGTACCACAAGAATAAAAGATGTCTAAAAATATCTTGTTCGACAATGGTAGAGAGCTGTTTGTTGGTTTATGTTCACCCGGATTTCCCTCCTTACTCCTTGATCACAATCAACATTCATTTGGGTTTGGTTTCTGCATCTGAAACCCGCCGAATATAAATTGCATCTGCTGGGTGTCTAAAGAAAGAGAAGATCAATATGTCAGTTGTGTTTGACTGGAAAAGGGCTTCAAGGGCTTCAAAACACATTTAGAGGACATAATAAACTTACTCTTTTTCATCTTCCTCATACATGTATGACGCAGCTATGGCCAGCAGGCTGCCATCATTACTGAAACTCAATGAAGAGATACTGGTTGGGTAACGATGGAACTGAAAAACAATGTAACAATGTTGAGTTCATCATCAGCTGATAAAAAAGTTAATACAGGGCTTAATAATGGTAATTGAACTGAGTGGAGTGCAATTTGGTCTGAAATCATACGCGTGATTTCAAAATCGAACAAGCGTGCAGCGCGAGTTTGATTTGAAATCACAAGTATGATTTCAGATCAAAATTGCATGACATGAAGTTCAATTGCCACTTTATTAGA